CCACCACCACCACCACCACCACCACCACCACCACCACCACCACCATCTATATCACCTACACAGCCCCCCAACTCCCTTGAAAAAGGTTGCTGAGAGAAGCCCTTCAAGGTTGATGCCATACTCTGAAGTGCAAATGTCCATTGGCTTTTGAAATGCATGAAGTCTTTTGTAGGATTCAAACAGGAGGTGGATGGGGTGCAAGGTACGACTCCCGACCATTTGGGCAAAGTACCTAAAGCCAAACCGGACTTCCATGCACTTGTCAGGTCCATGATTCGTGGGCTCTTCTTGTTATAGGTAGCTCTGGCATTGTTCGTGACTAGGCAACATTGCTCACAATTCATGTATAGAGGTTGTTTTTTAAATTTTCTGCCTCTGTGGGTTCCAAGTCGAAGAACAAACCACTGCACAATTGCTTGTTAGGATGATGGCCGACTCTACTATCTCCTGCAAATGGACAGCTCTAACATTCCATCATATCGATTCATATCGATCATATTGTGCGAACCAAGCCATCTCAGCTATCTGCTGCTAAGTGGCATTTGAGAAGAGGGCTTGGGCTCCCAACAAAGCTTCCGCCTGCAAAGAGGCATGAAAATCATGCTGCAAGAAAACATTAGGCATCCGACTGCTGTCCGAAATTCCCTACATCTGGGAGCGGTCATTAGGACAGGGCATCGGGCTTCGGTTTTCCTCATCGGTTTCCAATGTTTGATGAATATATATGAATATCACTAACAGACTAAAACATACTGCATACCATATCGGTTTGATGCAAAGGCATCGGTCTTGGGTTTTCCTCATCGGTTTTCAGTGTATGCTCAATCTAAGTCCGGTTCCGACGTTTTTGGACGGACCACCAATACGTACATACAAAGAGACCGAGCAGATCCCCCATAGGTCAGGCGAAGTCACTGGGAGAGCTTTTGGAGCGGATCCCACATAGGTGAAGCACACAACATACAATCATCATCTGCCACGAACAGGCCAAGTCATGCATGTCTAAATCTAAACGGGGACAAATTAGTAGGATGACAGTACGAGTACCTTGGCAAATGGGATCAGCGGATGAAGAAAGGAACATAAAGGAATATTTGCCTGGAGCAAGAATCAAGTTCCTGCATGGCACAGCTGCATTGCGGTTCACTTTTGCCTCCACTGGAATCGTCCTCTGCTTGACTTGCAGGGAGCAAAAGAAAACCAAAGGACCGCGTGCCCAACTTCCGGCACTGTCCCCTACCTGGTGCAAAAAATGTCTCAGACTCTCCTCGCGCTCACCCCTCTGGGTTGAAGCGTCCAAGGACACTTGCCAAGCGAAGTTGCTCCCTGTCGAGCCCAGGAAACATTGGCAAGATCACCAGCTACCAACCAAACAGCTATTGTTAACCTCAAGGCTTGGGAGGTTTCATGGACTTCCACATCCTTGAGGTGTGTCTGGATTCACGGTTCTAACTTCACGTCAAAGCTTGGCTTCCAAGAAACTGACCAAACTTCCTCTGGCCACCAGCCCTTGTTCTCCCTTCATCTCATATCCGATGACCGATTGACCTTGTGCGGATGGCTGGTCACGCCACAGGGCGATCTGGAGGAGTTCAAAGGCTTTGGCTTGGAGAAGGTATTCAATCGAGGCGACCTGTACATCAAAGGTCAAGCCAGCAGCTCGACGGGCATCTTCCACCAGTGTGATGTAGCTGGCATTGTTCATGTGCCCCAGCAAGTCACAATCTGAAGGTCTCACTTCACAGCCCCAGGAAAAACAAGCAGAAGGCCTCTTACCGGCGACTGGGCATCTAATTCCAGTTGCAGTACTCTGCGGCTTCAGGATGGATTTCAACTGCTCACTGCAACTCAATGGCACCGATTTGGACAGCGACTCATCCAACTGCACCATCACGGTTTCCACTGTGGCCAGCGGCAAGGAGGACGACGTCACTTCGTTCCGAACCGTGTAGCTGGTGCGCCCGAGCCGAGTGATCATCGGCTGAACCCGCACCATGGTTCCGGTACACGAATTGGCAAGCAACCTGCGAGCTCGGAGGGAAAACAAAGGCCTCCTCGACATTCTAGCCTAGAGGAGGCTAGGTGAAAAGTGATCCCTGGAGATTGGCCTGGTGGAAAGAAATGTACTCCAAAAGTTAATTGAATATTGAATTTATATACTATGTAATATGTGTGCGCTTGATGATTTGTTTAAGATTTGACCACGATCGAACGGCCATGCCTCTCCCATTGATGGCCCCGCACATGTACCTCCATCTGGATTGACCGCATGACAGAATAGCGTGACCATGTCTCCAACAGCTGAGCTCGTGTTTCTGCATCAAGCAGTGACAACGGGTAGATGCCAGCAGTGTCACACCAGCGTAGCACAGCCGGCAAGCATTGGTGCGCGCCGAAATCCACATAGTTGGCAATCAAATTCATGGCCCACCGAGGGTATAAGCTTATAGGCCGTTTGGTGTTTACTTTCCCCCACCAAAGGGCAACAACTTGTGTTTTTTGGCAGATGTGAAGTTGTGATCACTATGCTAAAAGTAGGATCTCAGCACTACTGCCAGTTTGGATGCAAGCTACAGGCCCCCTTCCCGCGTCTAGCTTCTACAAATATTTGACCAACGGCCTGAGCCCAAGCAGTTGCGGGGTGTCAAGATCTTGGGCTCATCAGGACTTAGAAAAAAACACCTCCGCGCTGGTAAGAGAGATACGACCAAGCAACATTGCTGACGACAAACCGCAAAGCGCAACAAAGAAGCTTCAAGCCAAAAACTCTACACAAAAATCACTGTTGCACCGACACCAACATATGAAACAATATGAAACAATGAACATGCAGAGTCTACCAGGCTAACCACTCTCGAGTGCCAGACTCAAGGGAAGTCTCAAGCTGCCGTGTAAAGCCCCTGCGCCGCCCGAAAGTGTCTCTATAGCTACTGCAACCTCACGATCCTCTGAACTTTGCACCTGCATGCCTTCTTCCCAAAGGGCACCCTGCTTTGGAAATATTGACCATTCATGCTCATTCACCATATCGGAAATCTTCGCCACTACTGAATCTGAAGAATTGTGCTTAGAGCAGTTGCAGGTGTAGTCTAACAAATTGTTCGCAGAATCAAGAGCTCTTTCAAACCCATGCTGTGCTTTTCTTGGCCACAACGAAGAACAGGACCTGTGACAGGAGCTTGAAGGCTGCCGGTGCCTTGATGGATGCCGATTGCTGCACCGCAAATCTTGACTCATAAGAGTTGGCAATTCGTTGTCTCACATCATGGATTTTGTGATGATGCACCATCCATGACCTGAACATAAGGTTTCGGTATGGGTCGCCTAGAGAGTGGTGCAACAAATGCAGCTGGATATATGTATATATACAATTATATACACCGCGTACATTTGTTAATTGATGCTGGGCTGCTCAAACCGAATCAAACACTTCTCAGGTGATGTCACCCAGGACCTTTAACATTAGCTCCAGTCCATGTTGAACAAGCTTGACAATGATCTTCGGGAATTAGGTATCCATGCAATTCCATGCTGGAAGCACGGCCACTCTGGTCATGTCTAGTTGATGCAGCTGGGAGGTTATATGAGGTGATGTTGTAGCACAAACACCCGTGGAGCCGGTTTGTGAGGTTTGTGACTCTGGGTTGTTGCCTGTTGACATTTTCTTGAAATCACGGCCCGCAATACAAGTGGTGGCTACACTCAAAGTAGAAGCATAGGAGTTGCATGGCGCACATCGATAGCCAGAACACTCTTAGGTCCTGACAGCCTATCGGTGCGCTGAAGGTTCCCGCCAAGGGTCTCCCTTAGGACATTCAGGTCACGAGCCGACGGGAAGCAACGCGAAACGTGGAATCCACCAAGCCTGGAGAAGGATTTGGCATCCAAGCCCTGAAAACCGCAAAGCCCCCGTGCCGAATACTTCATTGATATTCAAATCAGGTTCTTTGACTTCAGATCTGAATGAATTTGGATTCCTTCTCATTTCCTGACAATTTCCTTAAAATTGGACTCATGTTGGTTCTTTGTGGGCTCGGATTGATGAACAAGGTATAGAATGGAAACAATCGTGAAAATGACTCCTCTTGAAGTGGGCAAATCTTCTTAGAAGCCGAACAAATTCTCGAGCTTAAGTCCAACGTCAGGCTTGTTTTTGACATGAGGCTGATGCCTTCATGAGCATCATAATTCCATTGTTTGGGACTGTTTGGGACATCGATGATTCCTCGCGACTTCCGAAGTCGCGACGACTTTGGTGTCCGAGCCGTTGGAATAGACGCCTCGTGGCAGGTTGCTTTCATTCGGTTGAACACATGGTTTGGTGATTCAGTGAGTTGGCTGAGTGGTTCATTGGTGCTGAACATGGTGACTTGGGAAGAGCCTCATGATTTCAAGAGAGACTCAAACAACATTGACACACTGGGCCAATCTGGGCCATATCCTAAACAATGAGGCAGCGCATGGGGCAGTCCCTTGAGAGGCGGTTGATGGGGTGACACTGGGGTGTTGGTGCAGATAGGTTGTTTGAATCCTCCCTCTTTCTTCTAACAACACGTCGTTTGCCATGAAAAAACTTCCGGGAAACAACATGGACAGCTTGCCCGCTTCAGAAAGCATCAGGGGGCAAACAGGTCATTGCCCTCGCCAATGGAAAACCAAACAAAATGTGCTTGGACATGTCTTCGGCCCGTGCTCAGAATTCTTGGAATTGCTTGAGCATTTGGTGGAGAACATCCCATAAGTTATCTCCGACTCTTGAATTAGACAATCTGCGTTTCGCTATTCTGCAACCTTCTTGCTACATAGGAAGGATGCAGTCACAAATACTTGACCTTGGATGGTTACCAACAGCATCAAAGCAAGTAGATGTAAAATATACCTGGTTCCATGCCTGCAGGGACTCCAGCTGACATCGAGGTAGAGGAGGTTGTTGAGGTCATCCTGTCAAAGCAAAGGCGGATCACTCAATTCAGCCATCAGCAGATTTGCTGCGCACCCTTTGATGAGAAGATTTGCAAATGACGGACCGCAGAATGCACAAATCTGCTTCGCGATTAAATGAGAAACCATACTCTCCAAAACTTGGGACAAGTAAGCTGGCTGGTGACAGAATCGCTCAGATTTGTATCCAATCGCATTCACTCTTGATCACTTTGGTATTTGCTTCGGCGGGCGCCAGTTCTTCAAAACTGGCGCGGGCTTCTAAGACCAAGTCGGTGGAAACAGGAATTGCTGCAAGGAAAACATTGAGTTAAGTGTTGGGATCTCTTCCAGACTCTGGCGGTTGCCTCTTTGACCTAAACGCTTGAGATAGGCAAATCTCACACCTGGTCGGTGCCGCAGCACTGGCCGCCCATCCTGCGGCATCCATCATGCGTTCCGAACACCAAACGACAACCGAAGGGATAACAATCTGTCCGTTTCAGAACACCATGTGCATACTTTGAAGGGTTGTTTTCTTTTTTGGAACAATCACATCTTGTCAAATGCTTCATGGCATTTGACCCCAGGAATCATGAGGAATCCCCTGCTTTAGGCATCATTCATCAGCATAAGTCAAATCATCCCACTCGGTGCGCGTAAGTGCAGTCAGATTCACTATATACACACACATATATATATATATGTATAATATGCCTTCGTAAAGCCAGCATATTTTGCTACCAACTAGCTGGTTTGAGAGGCGCCGGAAGCAGTCTCTGCAGTCCTGTCATGTTGATGCCGTCGTTTGTAAAATCTAGCACGAACGTGCAAGGTCTGGAACATTTGCCCATCGACTTCAGTGAAATTACCACCCAATACTGCGACAGTCTTCCTGGTGGAGCCTGCTTGTGGGTGACCATGAAACTCCGACTCGAGAATATGTCTCAAGCTTCTTCAAACGGATAATCATAGTGATGGGAGCATCATCTCCATCAGGTCTCAGGGGCCACTTGGTTGGATTTTCCATGATTTTCCTGACAAGCTGCGAAATCAGCACTGAACGTGCAAAGGATCTTCGCCCGAAACCGCAGTCCACTCATGTCCAAGCGCGGTGTCCGCAGCTCTGACTAAGCATGTGCCATGAAAACAACATCGGCCCCATCCTACACGGTTGCAGCACGACAGTCGCAGCATCCTTGCTGGGCAGTCTGCGAGGCGTGTCGCAGTCTGGTCTTCCCAGCCATGGTTGGCCCACTTCGCCTCCGAAGCTTTTCTCCACGTAGATGGATTGACCTTGGGTCATAGGCCACATCGAGCCGGAAGACGAGAGGAGCCCAGGGCACTTGATTTCTCTCCCAAGTGAGCTCTGGTACCTACATTCGGGACATTCTCTGGTAGGCTCTTCAGCTTTGAGATCTGCTTCTTTGGACAAGTAGGTCATGTTATGCTTGTGCACGATTGACCACCAAAAATCAAATGTGCGAAATGTCCTGTCATATTGTCATCAGCAGCATCGCCACATCACTCACTCATGTTGAAAATGTCAGGGTGCCTTCCGACCGCGACTTCCAATAACATCCAATAACCTCATGTTCAACTCCAAACAGTTCACAGCTAGCGAATTGCCATCATCTCGTAAACGGGGAAAACATACAGCTTACATCAACTGACACCTGGATCTTTCTAAAATGGCATTCTTGGAAAGGACGAAACCAGCTCCGCAGAAACCTGTTCACGTGTTCCGCGTCTCAGACTTCGTTTCACCTCCCACCGCCCACCGGTGCGGTCTGAACTCTGCGTTTTCGGAAGGTCTGAACCGGTGGCACTACCGGTGGATGCGGTAGGCAGCCGACACAGCCGTTCAGACTGCTATACGCGGCATGGGCATTGCCGTTTGGGAAAGGAGACCGACCTCCCGCGACCGACCGCTCTTCCATCCGACTGGCGCCCCCGACTCTCCATGGCCGTGGCACGCGCAAGGGCACGGAGCTCATCCTCCTGCCCGCGCGGAGCACCATCGTGACGGACACATCGCTCAAATCGCTTATATACCCATTATCATTAAACTCCGTCAAACGAAATCGGTATAACAGGTCCTAGGATGTCCTAGGTGCATGTCGGCGCCTTTGATCGGAACAATTGTGCTTTTGATCGGAACATAAAAGATCGAAAAAGATTGCAGCTCAAAAGCAGGAGGGAAATACTCCCTTTCGGAACAAGAACCATGTTCTTGCCTTTCAAAGGTTTGCCGGCGGTGCCGCGTCCAAGGATGGTCCCCAAAACCACACCTGTCGACGGACCAAACCACTGGGAACGTCTGCCAGCACAAAAGGATGCACCAGCTGACACAACAGGCCTAGGATCCCGGTCCAGGCCCTGCCACGCGAGCGCAGTCCCAATTGAGTTGGTGACAGTTGGTGTGTCATGGTCGCCCAGTCATCCTTAGTCATCCTGAGGGTGACGAATGATCGAAGACACCATGACACACCCCTCCACGCAAGCCACCAACCTCCCGACTACCAGGCCTCACCCTTCAGACTTCGAGGCTCGCAAAGAAACCTGGCAGGCTCCGTTCTCGGGTTTTCCTCGTTCGCTCCGTTTTGGTTGACTCTATCTCTCGCCACAGGGCGGCATGCGGCACGCAGCCACAATCGAGAACCAGAAACCGCGTGGTTTCTGAGGCAGAAAAGCATTGGCAGTCCTCATTGCGAGTCCGTTCACTAATTACCTCCCCGCTGTTTAGAACCAACTCAGGCTGCATTCATGGTCCAGCTCAGCTCTACCAGCACCATCTTGTCACAAATGTCAGGTCCGTTTTGGAGACACGAACACCTCCAGCTCTGCGAGTCCACACATTCTCACGACGGCAGGGGGGCGTACGAAGCCAATTTGCTGGAGAAGAAGGACTCGCACTTTTCCACGGTCTTCATGTTGGCCCCGCCTGAGGTTTCGAACCGATCAGCCGAACTGATTTTGTACATAGCTTCATGTGGTCCAAAAACGACACAAAGATATAATAGCCATGGAAACTAATAGCGATGGCCTCCAACCTAATAGCAATGGCCTCCAACCTACTAGCATTACCCAATGCGATCCGTTTTCTTCCACTTTTAACAGCTTCAATCTTGTTCCCAGGCTGACTCTTGACACTTGACTTCCTCTCCTGGCCGGAGGTCCGTCCCAAGGCCCGTGTTGTACAAGCCGTCGGGAGATCGTTCGAGATCTGCGCGTTTTCGCTGGGCTACGATATGGGTGATGTCCCGAATGGCTAAAGTGGCTGGTTATCTCATCATGTCTTGTCTCTGCTCGGCTTGCATGTCCAAACCATTCTCAGCTGCGGGGATGGCGGCAGAACCGGTACTGAACGCTACTGAACACTTGAAAAACGCGGAGTATCACACACTGGTCAGCTATAAGTTGCTTAGCTTGCAGAGCAGAGATGTGTAGATGCCAGGCAGCAGGTCTTTGATATGACGGGATGAGCTCAGTTTGCTGGTGCGCGAACACTCAAGCAACTCTTGAGTCTTGACATCTTGAGCGCAACGGCACAGCGCAAGAGGCGCTTTTCTCCGCGGACATTTACACCTTGAAGAGCCCGTTGAGACGAGAAAAATCCTGCACTTGCACTGGCACGCACTGGCAGTCATGGTGCGGATTACAATATAGCTAGATCGAAAAACATGTTGTTAGGATTGCAATGATTGCAGGTTGTGAAGTGAAGCTCTTCAATCTTGCTTCAGTCCAGGACTGATGTGTCCTCGGAGGGTAAAATGAGTACTCGTCCGGCTTGCGGTTGCCTCGAAGAGCGAACGGTGGATGGTGATTTCACTAAGCCCAGCTTTTTCACCATTTCATCTTGGAATCCTAGTTCGGAATCCAAAGCTATGTAGCACACCTAGACTTGATCTTCATGCTCAGGGGTGAGTACCACAGGGCCATACATTCCCTACTTTCAGAGATATCCATGTCCCCTAGTAATTATTTATATCATGAATCATGGACCATAGTGACAAATTCTTGCCGGCGTCATGTATGACGTGGACCGGAGTAAGCCCTCAAAGAGCTGGCAAACAGCATCTTACTCTACCCCAGACTGGATTGGAAGCATATTTGGTGTCTTCATATGATATTCAAACGCCGGAGAACTCAACTCCTAGAGGCTGTGTACATATAATATATCCGTCCGGGCTACCGTGAAGCGAGACGCATAAGAATTTGTTTGCTGCATTTCGGATGGTATTCATGTCTCACAGGGTGTACACAGAGCGCCCTCAAAACAGGTGCAAGGCCCACTACATGGTCCTCTTGAGTCGCCACCGAACCTTTGGCCTTTCCGGACTGGGTGGTTTTCCGGACTCAGATCTCGAAGTCTCGAAGCGGCTCCGTTCGTAGCGTCCCCTGTTCCTAGGCCCAGGCGAGCCGCCCTCGCAGCGTCTGAACGCTCCTAGTCCGCGATGCCAGGAGCCCCGGCCCTCGTAGCGTCCAAGTTGATGCAAGATGCGGAGGAATTGGAGAGCCTTGAAGGCCAACTTGGGTGCTCGAGTGAGGCTTAGGACACCTCGAGGAGAAGTTTCGGATGAGAAGGCTGGTGGCGTGCGATCGATCCCATCTCTCATACACTCCAAGTCGGGCGGTCGTGTTTGGTTGCATTTCACACGGTTGTATTGCAAATGTGCCTTTGAAGGGTAGAAAAGGCAACATTCAACATCAATGAAATCCATGTGGGTAAGCCCTGCTTTTAGAAATGTTTATCCTGTCAGACTTGCGTTTGAAGTGTGCATTTAAACACAAACATGAAGGGGGAGCAATGGCTCACAAAATATGCGTGAAATGCCACGTGGGACCAATAGCATCAGCATTGCCAGCAGAAGCGTCATTATCAAATTTAGCACAAGAAAACCCCAAAAATGCAATCATATGCCATCAGAATCCGTCAAACGCATGCGATGCGCTCTTCGCGTTTGCGGCCTTTGTTGTTGAGACCTCTGGAGCGATGCTGGTCGCTTTTGGGATCCACCAGGAGGTCGGCAAACTGCAGGGCCAGGCCCGCGATCTGTGGGTTGCTGAAGATGGAGACCTCGTTTGACGGACTCGTGGCGAACGTTCTGCGCTTTTTTTCTCGAACGAAGCGTCTGGTTGGTTCAAGCCATCATCAACTGTTCCTTTTTGTCAGTATGATGTGTGCTGCCCAACTCAATGCTACTCATCCATTTGCAAACAGACACGAAATCAATTGCAAAACCCACAAAAACTTACCTGACGGCATGAAAACAGGCGAAACAAGATGGCAACAGGAAGTGCTTGAATTGGTGGATTTTTTGCCAACTAGGGCGACGTGGGTTGCCCACCATGCAGACCACCCACCGATGGCGAGGCAACCGGCGAATCTGAGTTGGGGATCCGATGGCGTATACAGTATATAGACGTTGGGTCTAATACCTGTAACATTGGATGATGATGGTTGGTAAAGGCTTTGGCACCGGCACCTTCTGGGAGACAGGCCAAAGTGCCGCAGGCGACCAGAACCAGGGATGCACACAAACACCTGAGACTCGGTCGGGCTTCAGAAACCCGAAGAAATACACATACATAAACAAATAGGATGTGATTTACCCATATAAACATAAGAATCAGCCCGTTCGCACAACCAGGGAGACATGAAGCTTATTGTCGTGGGACACCATGTCCGTCACGGTGTCCACGGTGTCCCACCATGTTTCTTTCACCACGTTGGCACAGTGTCAGCCAGCAAAAGGAACATGGATTGCTTGTCCATGCTACATATGGACACCCAAAGTCTCTGCCCAAGGACTCACCGCCTTCCCCCCCTCAGCCAAGGACTCTGATATTCTTCGCTCCATTTCAATTCACTGGGGCCATGATAAGCATATAGGCCGCCGGCGCCTGTGTAGGGTGACCCCGCAGGGTGTCAATATCTGTCTATAGGGCCATGGTGCCTCTGCAAAGCAAAAGCTTGTCCACTTGCGTGTGTGGCGGGAAGGTCATCAACTTGTGCTTTTGGGAGAGGTGCAGGCCTCTGAAGCACAAAGTCACCAAGACATACCAAGACCTCTTGTCTCCCTGAAGTCCATTCTACCAGTTACAGATTCTGGTGATGACCCTGCCGAAACAAAACATGAGGCCGCGGAGGCGCACGCGCACGGCGCGCGGAGGGCCCCCCACGAGTCACCCAGTCTATCCCGCAAACACCTCCACCTTCCAGAACCAGGAGGCAAACAAACCTACAAACGCTGCACGTCAGGGCTGGATTTAGGATGATGAATTAGGGCATGACATCCTGGAAGAAACCTCACGAAAGAACTCACGTTGTCACCAGGTAGTCTTGGGCAGCTATGCACAGCAAGCCAAAACAGTAAAGCCCGTCACCCGCGATATGTATGCACCAATCTGACCCACCTTCCAACAATGGTGCAGAAGAATGGGACAAAGGTTGGCAGGCAAAGTCGGTACACAGTGTTCCCGAGTTGACACTGCCACCCAAGATCATCCTCTCCCCGACTCTCAGTAGATCTCAGTAGAACAACTCCAAACCCCATTGTGTGAATGGCCTCGATAATGAGCAACGGCTTCTCCGGGAAAGTTTCCGCGACAGCCCGAGCAAAGGCCTAGCGCTGAAAACGGGACGGTTGCTTTCCGGGATGAACATGGTGAAGGTGCCATCAAACTGGAAGATTCATTAAGTCTCAAAGGTTCTTCGAAGCATGAAGAAACACATACCCAATCCTACAGTAGAATATCCTAGAATGGCTACAGCGAAACAAACATCGCCATCAACAGCCAATTAGGACTTCAACTCGAAGAAGCATATACCACCCTCACTGCTGCCGGCTATGTTGTGTCCAACCAATTGAGCACACATCACCGACTGAAGGGATGTCCAACAAGCCGCTACAAGCCACCTTTCGAGGGATCCTTTCTATGTTTTCGTGTGTTTATGACAAGCCTTCTGCAAGGTATAGTAGCCTTTAAATTGCCAGTGCATCCGTTGGTCCCAGCTGCACGCACTGTGTCGAGGTGTGAATTTGCGCATGGGACGATTTACTTAGCCAAACGAGCAACTGCTACAGTGGACAACGTTGACACCCAAGCCAAACATGGAGAATGCTGTTTGTCAGCGGCATGCACGGCCTCCCAAATCAAGGGAACCTGCTTCACTTCATCCATGTTGCCAGGTTCGTTAGCAGGATGCCAAGCAGGGTAATGATGGAAGGCACAAACATCTGCATAGCGCAAATACCTGCCGCTACTCTGGCAAATCGTGAGCAAAGGCGGGTTTCTCATTGGAATGTGTTGGACTTCTCATGTCTGCCATGAAAGTCATAACAAATCACCGCATGTTGCCAGCATGGCACGTACCTATTTGGCGAAGCTGGCACAAGTAGCACTTGACTTGAAACTGATCAGGTTTACCGCACATTCATTTTTGCCTCACGAGGAGCCTTCGGAACTTCTGCAGGCAAAGTGATGAACACCCCTGTGACTTGGGCAGTTGGAGGATGGAGGACTCACGTGTCATGGCCCGCACCGATCGTTCACCGCGGAGGACCCCCGGGCGCTGATCAGCCGAGTGTTGCTTCGCTCCCGGAGGCGAAGTGACATGCCTGGGAGGACAACGATACAAGTCTTATGCCCCTGGCATCGCTACGAACGGAACAAGGAAGCGACTAGGGGCTCCTAGCCTTGCTACTAGGAGCAAGGAAGCTACAAGTAACAAAGGGCATCGCTACTGGGAACAAGGGACCTCGCTACTAGTAGCAACCTAAAACCATGACAACCTTTTTGCACGGTGAGTGAGGACGGAGACACAGGATCCATGGCACGGTGCCGGGGAGAGTCCAGTCATACCTTCTGAGACTTGGATCCCTGGGGTATGTATATACAGTATAGAGACAATATATTTAAACATGCAGCACGTGTAATAAACTATATATATATGTATAACTGTATATATATATATATATATTTGTTGGTGGGACATGGCCGTGACCCCGAATCGAAACCAGCTGCACGTGAAAAACCCTCCGGGAAAACACGCGCCTTTTCTTCTGGTGACCTAGGGTCTTTGTTTGACCTTCCTTCAAGGTCTTGATGAAGCTCTCTCGCTCCATTCAAAAGGGCTGCATCGAACAGCACACATGAAAAGCTATGTCATCCTTGCGCAGGGGTCATGCATCAACACTCCCCCTGTCTTCATTGAAGACAACATGATGCCATCCTCCTCACCTCCAGGTCTATAGGACCCTTCTTCCAGCATGTGTGATGAGGGCAGGCCTTCCATCAGCTCAAGCCCCGTAGTTCGACAGCTTCTTCATCTGTCAGTTCAAAGGCCAACCAGGCCGTGTGGCAGCAAGACAAAACCAACAATGCCCATGCATTCGTTGAAAACAGTTACACTGTATCCTGCAGACCATTAGCCCAGTATGCACCCCATTCTTTTCCTTTTTCCTTTCTTCATCAAAACCGTAATGCCAACAGGCATTTGCTTCACCACAATGGCCAAAATGGCCTTAGGAAGGTCGCCGAGAGCAACTAAAGGCGGCCCCCCTTTTTTCTTTCCATCACTTTTCTTCACATGTTGAGCTCCCGGTCACGGAGCTCCTGGAGGCATCGAACACATGGGGCATATTTTTCTCTGCCCCAGTTGCACAGGCAGGTGGCCTTGCAGCATCCAAATGGTAGATCTCGCCCCATCCACGAGACCAAATGTGTTCACCCCTTCGGACATGGGCCATGTCGATGGTAAAGCCACATCGATGGCATGGAGGTGAGCTTCGGAGCACGGATGAGGTGAGCGTGGGGCATGAAGTGAAGATGTGGTACTTCTGCCCATACTTGGTGATGTAAACACCCATCCCTTGGTACCGTCGGCCTCCATCTCCGATTGGCGGTTCGCCATCACGTTGAAATGCCCTGGGGCATGCCTTTGCAGCAGCTTCGGAAGGGCCTGCCTCTCTCGGTTGAGGAGGCGTTGGGTCCCATGCTTCATCGGCCATCATGTCACGGTAATCCCTCTCTGTAGGGTGGTAGAGAGTTTCATCTTCGGCGCACTGAGGATCTTGCGGAGATGCTCCAGGTGCCACCTCCTGATCGCCAGCCGGGATCTCTTGCTCGGGCTCCTCTTGGATTCCGGTGCGAGTGACATCCAAGTGCGACTGAGATGTGGGCCCAGATGAACTTGATGTTGGCGGAATGCCAGCCTGAGCCCTTTCCTCTGGCGTGAGGGAAGACAGCCATCGCAGTAGCCATTCACGATTCTGGAGCCCAAGTTGGCTTCTCTCCTCAGCGGACATGGGGCGAGCAGGACCATACGCCCAATCAACAGGTTCATCATCTTGAGGGCTCCCTTTTCCTTGTCCTTTCCCTTTTTTCTTACCTTTTGATCTGGCACTTGGTCGGTTGACTTCACGACCTTGCCAGTCCACGGTGATGGAGCTTCCTTAAAATTCGGAGGTGGAGCTTGCAGGCGGTCCAAGGACTGGTGGTTGATATTGGTGGCCAGCAGCAGCATCCCCATCCCCCATGTGCACAAGCGTCGGAGGATCAGGGTGGCCAAGATGACAAGGATTGTATACAGCATCATGAACAGCTGAAGTGGCTCAGAACCGGCCTGGTCAGAGGGATTCTCATCTTCACCACTCTGATTTCCTTGGGCCCTTGACTTGGCGATGAGCGCCATCAGTACCGCCAGTTGCAGCTGTCGCCCGCTGAAGTTCAGCTTCCTCTGCCTTCCTTCATCTTCTTCTTTCCTTTCTTCAACTTCTTCCTTTCTTCCTTCGCTTACCGCCTCTGGGCCGTCCTCCTTTTCTTTCTCTTCTTCACTTACCGCCTCTGGGCCGTCCTCCTTTTCTTTCCTTTCTTCATCCACCTTCTTTTGTAGAACCATGGACATCAACTCTTTCAACTCCAGGGTGCGCTGACTTGAAAGTGGTTTCGTACCACGGTCGGCAATCATGATGGTGCCGGGCATATGTCTCACTCGCCAGTCGAGGGTGGTGATTCTCCAACGAACATGTTGTGCCCTCAGCCTCAAATGCCTGGTGCGCCAGTTGGCATGACCATCGGAGAAGAACCCAGTGGCCGCAAGGTTATTGACGAAGAGGGTCTTCACATAGGGTTCCTCATGCTCTTGGATCATGCTATCAACTGCATCACCAGTTTGGAGACCTTCAATGGCTTCCAGCAACTCTGACTCGGCAGTGGACAAAGCTGGAAATGGTTGGCGACCACTTTTCCAAAACATCAGCGCCCCATTCCACAAAACCATCACAGCACCGTGGGAAGCTTGGGTCTCTGGAGAAGCTGCAAAGCTTGAGTCCGTGTAGACCTCCAAAGACTTTGGTCCCCCATCCCAACCTTCTCCCTTTCCAGGTGGAAATTCAAGTCCTTCATTGGGAGTTGACTTCAAGTACTTCCAGACTTGGGTGGCCTGTTCAATCACCCAGGATGGATGTGGCAGAATTTCTTGGGCACATCGACTTGTAGCGAATGCCACATCGGGTCTTGTGCGTGTTGATAACCACATCAGTTCGCCAACAAGCATCTGGGCTGCGTTGACCAGCTCTGGAGTAGGTTCTTCAGGCATCGGGGCAGCTTCTTTGGACATAGGGACCTTCACATTCTTTGCGTCGGGAATCCCTTCTTTGTCCTTGATGTAGTCTTCTTGTGATGCCCGATATCCTCCTCCGATGGTTTTGGTGATTTCCATACCCAAAAACTTGACCTTTTCTTTTCCCACTTCCTCAGGCGTAGAGGTCTCCCACTGGGCCTGTAGAACTTGGATCACCTGGTTGATGGTTTTCTCATCACTTGTAACCATCAGGTCATCAACGTAGACCAACAGGAATCCGACAATCTTTTCTTCACGATCTTCATCTTCACCATCACCGAGCATAATACTCCATAGATTAGGCTCAGCTTCGGCCTGAACAAAGCGATGTCCTTGGGGTGAGGTCAGCTTCCTCAGTACCTGATCACGGTAGACCCCCCAACAGCGCGGAGACTGGCGAAGACCGTACATAGCCTTTTGAGCCAGGTAGTAGTCCTTAGGCCCCACATGGCCCGTCTTCAGAAGAAGGGATGGTGGCTTCAATACCACCATGGTTGGCTCTTGACCTTCAGCTTCGATATCCAGCGGAGCATTGAGGAACGCTGTTCGAATGTCCAGCACTGATGCCTTCCAGCCCTCTTCAGCTGATCGCTTCAGGACGTAGCGAAGGCAAACGGCATCCGCACCTGAGGCGTATAGGCATTGATCCTTCTGTTCCGCTGAGGCTGGGTCAACGAAGTTGCCGCAGGCGACCAGTCTGATCTTTCTTCTTGGACCAGGCTTCACGGTGATCACTACCTTCGAGGGCAACACCTCCAGCTTTCTTCCCCACTTTTCTTGGAGGGACTTGAACTCATCTTCATCGATCCGGCGGAGAGCCTTTTTCTCCTCAAACAGTTGGTAGAGCTCTTTCCGGATGGCTTCATCCCATTTGGGAGCTTCTCGAAGAAGTTCTTTTGGGGAGACCACCCTGGTTCGAAGGACGGGTTCCTCTTCTTTGGGCATAGCGCTTTTAACTTTCTTCAGCTCCTCATAGACGACATCCATGACCTTCATTTCGTCCTTAAGCATGATCACGCTTTCCTCCAGGACAATGTTGGAGACCCTTTCCAGGTGCCGTTCTCTTTCTTCTTCAACCATTTCATACTCATCTTCTTCCAACTTCATACTTTTGGCTCCCATTTTTCCCCGTATCCTTCTTCGGACTTCATAGGGACCTTCAGCCTCCTCAGCGGCCTTTGTAACAGCCATCCAAGTTGATTGGCTTGGCTCAGGTTCCTGGGTCTTCATGATGAAATACGGGACGATCGCCGTAGAGCCATTGTCTCTCAGCACCAAGTGACCGTGAGCATCGGGTCTTGGAGCCAGGTAGCGGACCTTCTCATGAGTCGCTTCCAGTTCTTTTGTCTTCCAAAATCTTCTTTTGACCAGGAGCTCATGACCAAAGGGCGGGACATCACCCAGATCAAGATCGGTCATGCGTCTTCGCTCCCGCTCGTGGACATAGTGGCATGCTTGAGGCCATCGACTTGCTGGCATACCAGCCATGCCAAGGGCCCGACGGATGTGGGACTTCACCGTTTGAATCGCTCTTTCCGCACGTCCATTGGACTGAGAGGAGACTCCTGCTGTAGTGGTGCGATGGATATCCCTTGAGCGACACCATTGGGTAAGGGATCTTCCTCTGAACTCTCCCCCGAGATCAGTGTGAAGCCTTGCCACGTGGTAGCCCATCACCCTGAGCTGGATGTACATTTGCTGGATCGTAGACAGCACCATCTTCTGATCCTTTGAGGACATCGGGATGGCGAGTCTAAAGGTGATCAGGTCGGGGTTTTCCCTTTCTTCACCCACTTCGCTTTCCTTCGTCTCCTCACCTTGTTCGCCTTCTTCCGCCACACCCTCTTCTTCATCATTATTTTCATTTCCTTCCTCCTCATCCTCTTCTTCAAGCAGCACTTCATCAGAGTCAGCCAGTTCATCGTCTGGTACTGGCGGATGCTGTTCTTGAGGAAGAAGCCAAGTGTAAGTACCAACGAGGATGTATTTCATC